TTCGAGAAGATCTCAGGGGAATCAAATCCCCATATGGTGTGGACACGCGACATGACTTGATTGCCCTCAGTGTGTGTTGTACGATCGGGCAGCTTGGGCAGCCAACTCAACAAATTTGGGCAGCCTTCTAGAAACAGGTACCTCACTCCTATATAGATGTGTGATTTTCGACATTACGTTCATTATACTCTTGAGCATTCGTCTTCTACATATACCCATTTAAGTATTGGAGACTATTCACCGGAGAATTCCTCCGGTGTGAGAGTTTTTGCAGGTATAAGACGTTCTACCGGCGAGGAAGTGTTCGATCAACCGATTTCCATCTGGTCGGAGATTTTTACATACCAAACACTAACACTAGCAATACTAGAATAACACTCTCTCCCTGTCAGCCAACAATCCGCTACATTTCACGGCTCGACACCCGAAGACGACCGCACAAGGGATAGAACCCCAGCTCGAGAACTGAACCAAAGACTCCAGCAAGCGGCTAACTAGTACCGCAAACGAACCAGACTCCTCTCCCAAACAGCCACCCACAAACCAACTACTGGAGAATAACCCCCTTCTCGCCACCAACCCACAGGCAACCCCGACCCAACCACCGGCCAGGACAGCACCCCACACACACCAGCCAAAACCAACCCCCAACACGGGGAAGTGGGAACCGAAAAGGAAGAGAGAAATGGACCATACCTCAACCCTAGCCAACTTCCTGGAAAAAACCAGGGTTAGCCAATGGACTCAATTCGGCGCCCGCCAGAACCCACTCCACCACCCATAGACAACCGGCGATTTCACGCTGAGGGGTGATGGAGGCTGAAAGCAGAGCAAGGGCTTACTGTAGCAAAGGCGAATTTTCTACAATCTGATATTACTTAGAATTCTAAGTGTACGTTCTTGTTATTATTTTTGTTGTTGTTATAATTATTATCAACCCTTATTGTTTGTTTAAATTTCCCTTTCCTTTTCATTCCTTTACTCGTCATGGATTATCAACATGGTGTCGGAAATGATTGAAAAGATTCACCTTAAAAGATCCTCTGCTCGAATTTCTAGTATCGAATTAATCTATTTATGTATACTTATATTTTGTTAAAAAAAAAATGTTTTATGAAAAATCAGGATGTTTTGCACGTGGAATTAAATTTACTATAGTTATCATGCAACTAAAATG